AAACATGAAGTGACCGTGCCAACAGCAGCTGGGTCTAAGGTTAGAAGGCCTAGGAGCTGGGGGTCAGTAGGATTGGCTACTGCAGGCTCAAGATAAAACAGAATAGAGAGGTGGAAACTGGTGGGGAAAACCCTATGCAGAAGAGCGACACCAGGAACTCGCTCGGTTTTTTTCTAATGCCAGCCCACACACATCCAGACACAGGAGAGCAACCTGGAAGAGCAGGGAACCATACCAGTTCAGCCAGGACAAGGCAGCAGGTGTACATCAAGTAGTGACCGAAGGGTAGGGCCCAGATCCTGCCACTCAAAGGCCAGGTTCCCCCGCCTCAGCAGTGCTGACATTCTGGGCTAGGCCATTCTTTGTTATCCTGTGTGTTACAGGGCATTTAGGGATGTCCCTGGCCTCTTCCCACCAGATGTCAGTAGCAACCTCCTACCCTGTGGTAGTAATAACAGAAACAACAAAAAAGGCCTTACTCCACACCTCGCCAACGTCCTCGGGAGACAAAATCACCCGCAGCTGACAGCTACTACTCTAAGGAGGTTGAATTTTAACCTGCCAGCAAAAGGAAGTCATTTAATGATTAAAAGCATAGGCAGCAAAAAGACCAGATATGCTTTTCGAAAGAATGCAACAGTGTGGAGGTCAGCTGTGGAGGGCCAAGTAGTGAGACAAAAGGACCAGAGAGACAAATGACACAGTATTGGTGATGTGAACCACAACAGCAACAGCGGAGACAGAAGAGAGAGTATGAATGCAAGTGACAATGGCAGGGCTGGACAGAATCCTGGGCACAATTATATAGAGCATTTCAGGAGAAAGGAGAAACGGTAGAAAACTACTTGGCTTCTGGCTTGGCAATTTAGGTGGCTGCAGTGATGGCCATTACTTAAGAGAGAAAATCTAAAAGGAAGAACAGGCTTAAAAATGAGTATAGTTTTAAACAGAATAAAAGTTGGAGGTAAGTGTGGGATACCCAGGCGGTGAGGTTAGCGGAGTTCAGGCTCAGCTGGCCAACACTGGTAGCATACGTTACATGCCAGACCCATGACAAGTACTAACTTGCTTAACCCTCCCCATATCCACCGAGGTAAGAGAGCAGCCACTGTCACCCAGACTCACAGATGGGAAAACTGCTGCAAGGACAAGTAAAATAACTTCTCTAAGATGCCACAGCCAGGAAGTTTGAAAGCTGGCATCCCAAATTGACTCTGCGCTCTGTGTCACTACACTGCACCGCCTGCCTCCAAAGACGAAGAGAAAGGTCAGGATCATAAATGTAGGTCTGGATGGTTTCCCCTAGACAAACAGGCATGTCTGGGAACTCACAGGGAAAATGAGCAGAAAGAGAAGAGGAGAATCACCTAGGACGAAAGATCAGAGGAAGTATCTGTTAAGTCGAATGTGTGGGAGCAGCCGGAGGAAGGAGCCAGGGCTGGAGAAACACAAGAGGCAGCAGGGGAGCTCCTAAGGGCAGGGAGCAATGATGTCCTTGGAACTCTCCACAACCCCTTACATATAGTCTACTTTTTATAATAGTTTTTAACTGAATTAGTAAGCCTAATCTCAAATAATGATATCACATATCCATGCCTACAGCATATTCAAAGTCTTCATAGATGAGAAATACCCAAGTCATGTTTGTGACTTTTCTAGAATACCAAGTTAGTGGAAGACATGTTGTCATTCAATATGAAACAGTAGCTCAGACACCATATGAAATCATTCCTTACATTTATGTCTAGCTAAGAAGGTTTTTAAAAGCTGTATTCATATCCGATTTTCACAGCAATGAAATATGTCACTCTATTTTGCATTGTTAAAGATCACATGGTTTTGCAAAGAACAGATAGAAAACTGCATGGTCTCTTCCTAAAGAGGATGTAAAAAGCGTATACATGAAAACTGATTACTTCTCACTTGAAGCAGTTACTAGAGCATCTGGTGAATCTTGGGTTGTACTGCTGTAATAAATCTTCTGTGCATCTAAACAGTGTTTGTTATGCATTCCTTATCATACTTTACAATTCTATACCCTCAACACAAACATTAAGTATAAAATGAGCTTCCTCAAGATACAAAAAAGCTGGGTCCCATTTCCAATTTGAGACAAGTGTTTTCTAAGGGAATAAATCTTGATTTCCAGGCCCAAATTCAAAGTGCTTTCCAACTATTAATGTGTGTACAAATCACTTGGGGATCTTGTTAAAATGAAGGCCCTGGTTCAGCAGGTGTGCAGCTGGGCCAACCCTCTGCATTTCTAACAAATCTCCCTCCTGGAGGATGCGGACACTCCGGTACACACTGGCTACTCAGCTCTGGCCCCTGGACCAGAAGCGCTGGCAGCTCCCGGGAATGTATTACAGAGCCGCACGTCCCTCAGCAAAACAGACAGAGCATGCTCGTCTCCTCTCTGCTGAAATGGATGACTCTAGAAGTTTAAATTATTTCTTTTAAAGTCCATTTATAATTCATTCATTCATTCACATTTTCTTTTGTTGTTGTTGATGAAAGTTTGACCTCCTTTCCTCTCTCTTGCTTTCACTATGCTAACCTGCGGGTCCGACAGCGAAGGCCTCCCCACGAAGGCCCCAGCCGGCTCATTCCGGGCTCTCTCCTGGAACCCCTGTGCAGGCCCACAACACACCAACAGACTGGGATAGGTCCTTTCCAAAGAAGGCCATGCTCTCTTACGACGCCCGCTCCCGTTTGTTTTGGTTTGTTGTGGTTCGTGCATTCCGCTCTCAGGCCGGTCTCTCTGTTCACCTAAATTTCTCAATTAGATGGAACCTCACTATTCTCTAAACCAACTACTCACCCTCCCCATAGGAACTTTTCTTTCATTCTACTATTTATGGCATTCTGCTATATATATGTTGGGCCTTGTCACATTTCTACTGCTGAAGTATAAGCTACTTGAGGGTAGACATTTTTATAGCTAATTTTGATATTCCCTGCTTAACATAGTTCCTTATTAATATAATACTAAATAAAAGTCAATTAAAATGAAGTACAGCAATACTCCTTATTGATGATAAACGTGATCAAAATATTCCCAAATCAGAAATCTAAATTGTTTTTTATTTCTCCAAATACGACTGGTTTTCCATTTTCATTGACACATAAAGAAAACTGGGCACAGTGCTTCATTTGCATTTTTTCCAACTCTTATACCCAGAAAGTTTTTATTTAATCTTGCTGGATACACTTTGTAAGAATGTAAGTTCTGAACCAGGCACTTTCATACTGAGCAGGCCAAATGTTCACAAATCAGTTGGGGAAAATTAATTTATAATGAAATCTGCATAAAACCATTATGAAACTCCACACACACACAGAAAAATAGACCACAAAGCAGTACAGGTATCATTATATCTGTCATGTGGAAATAAAAACGTGGTAACAAAGATTGATTTTTAGAAACTAAGCTCTTTCAAACACTTGGAAGAATCTGAGGTATGATCAGATACTACGTTTAAATCATGAAGTTAGTGTTAGTCCAAAGTGAATCAACTGAACAATCTCTTAAGTTCAAACCCCAGTCCTAAAGTATACATTAATTATTAATATATTATAATGTTTTAATGTATTATAAAGTATTATAATGTCTTAATACATTATATTGGGTTATTTTAGTTTAATTTAGCAAAAAATATCCTCTGCTATCTTCTCAGTATAAACAAACAGAAAAAGACTGTAAGTTAATTCTGAGTGATTCCTAAAAATGAGCCCAGGTCAGTAAATGTCTCTAACCAAGCAACAAAAAGTAAGATTAGAGTTTAAAGTAATATGGAGTTGTGATCACCACCAATGATTGGAACATGAAAACTATTAGTCAAAACTGCACTGCCCAGAAAGCAAGAATTAAAGGAAACAATCTGACTTCACTGACATATAACAAATGTCCTACTTGAGAGCCACTAGTACAATACTGAGCATCCTACCTGCAGGTGAAAAAGTACCCACATATGTTAAAAATCCCTGCAAAAGATATTCATTCATCATTTATTAATCAGCTTTCCTACCCTTAAAGAGCTTATTTTTGGCCAAGCGGGAGGGAGCCAGCGTGATTTCTGGTGATATTGTGGCAGGCAGAAAAATGGCTCCTCCCAAAATATCTACTTCCTAATCCCCTGAGCCTGAGACTGTGTTACCTTACAGGGCAAAGAGGCTCTGCGCTAAAGATTCAGTTAAGGACCCTGAGAAGGACAGATGATCCTGGATTATCTGGGTGGGGCCAAGGCAATCACAAAGATCCTCGAAGTGGAAGGGAGTCGGGAGAGGAGGCGTGAGGAGATGTGAGGAGGACTCAGCAACCCACTGTTGCTGGCTTAGGAAATGGAGGGAGGGGCCACGAGCCAGGAAATGCAGGCAGCTTCTAGCAGACAGAGAGGGCAAGGACACAGGTTCTCCTCTAGAGAGTCCAGAACGGATCACAGCCCTGCTGATAGCTTGATTTTAGCCCAAAGAGACCCCTGCTGAACCTCTAACCTACATAACTGCATAATAAATGTGTTGTTTTAAGTCACTAATTTGTGGCAGCAATAAAAAACTAATATGATATAAAAAAGAAACTAATATGATACAAAAAACTAATATAGTATAACTAATATGCTATAAAAAGAATTCTCCAGAGCCAACACAGGTAACGCCTCACAAGTGCAGTGCAGTGTTCTATAAAATGCCCAACAAATATGTTAATTAAAATTTTGGTTGTATTACTAAGAAACATACCTGTTCCTCTGTAAAAATCTAATGTGCAAAGCTTGAAACCAGATTTATAAAAATATTGAGAGTAAATATGGTTAATTTTGATTGAAAAAGTAGGTTATAAAACAAAGGAGAACGAGGTCTTTTCAACCAAACAAGATGATAATAATTAAGTAGGCAAATTTGATACTCCTTGCAGATAACCTTTAAAAGGGACCACCATAATAACCTTTTCAATAGGTCAGTCAGAAGGCAAAGTCAGGATCTCTTTTAAAGCTCCTATTTACCTGATGATCCTCTGGGCAGCGTACTGATGGAGGGAGCGAAACTGTGCCGACATGTTTGCTAAGGCTGCCAAACAGTTTGTGTGAAGGTACTTGTCCTGTCAGAAAACAGCAAGTTGAAAGCATTCATCAAGTCTTCTCTATATTTTAAACAAGGTTAATTAGAAGCAAATGTAAACTCGGTTGTCATTGATTTTTGAAAACTCAGGTCCATGATCCCCTTTCTCTAATTCCGAAAGTCGATAAAGCACTAAAAGTTCAAAGTTTTTTCACCACACATTTGGAAGCAACATCTGGCACAAAAGGGTATGATGCTATTTATGGTCTTCATTATCCCTGCCCTGGTGAATACTGAAGTATTTCACTGCAGAAATATTAATGTTTAATTACAGTGTGCTGCTCCAGAACCTAATGGTTACATACAGTGTAAGCATATGCACTATAATTATCTTTCTAAAATCAAAACATTCTGCATTCTAAAACACATCTGGTTCCTAGAGTTTCAAATAAAAGATTGCGGACATGTATCTACGTTAGCCCCACAGAAGGAAATAATTGAAAACAGGTCAGTAAAGTTGACCATTTCTCTGAGTTATGAATTCTGTATATGGCTTCTCTATTGACTAGAACTGAAATTTGCTCCCAGGTACTGCAAATACAATCCAGTTGAATTTTTTCTTTTACTCTTTAAAGTATTCTCTTCTACTTTTCTTTCCCAAGTGAATTCATTTTTTCTTGTGCTCCTATCTTCATAGTTTGTCGTTGCTTTTAAAAGGCAAATCTGTACTATCAGCCCCACACAGGCAGACAGCATCTTTGATCTAAGTGTGCTCCAGGGCTTATTTTCAATTTCATATAAAATTTCTCTAATCATACAATCTATTAAATATTAAGAAACAGATACAATCTATATAGTGCCTTAGTATCATGCCATACAGTGACTATATGCTGATCTGTATTTTCCTACTGTATTTCATGAGAACACTGGCACTCTAAATATTGAGACTGCTTTTAGCGATACTCCTAATTGTCCTGTATGCATACAAATTAAAAAGTATTTATGGAATACTTACTCTTGTCCTTGTCATGTTGTATTGAATGGTTCTTATTACCACCAGTATCAGGAGACTCCCCAATGAAATTTCTGTTAAAACTCGTTCTGAATACCAAGTAATATTTTTTAATATCTGGAATGGGCAAAAAAAGTTTAGTAAATATGACTGATTTAGGAAAAAAAGGATTGTCCATGTCTTTAGTTTCAGATAAGCCATGGCCATCCTATGACTTAAACAGTATATGAAAGCGAATTGTAAGACTTTCAGTTCAAAAGAGCCAAACTGTGTGGATGTGTTTACTTTTCTTTCCTTCTTAAATATAAAAGGAAAAAAAAGAAAAAACCAGGTCTGAAGAGAGAAGGACATCATTAGTAGATAAAAAGGTATGGCACATAGGACAAGAACAACAGGAAAAAAAAAACCAATCAGAACTCAGTAGTTTGAAAGCAAAAATAAGAAAACCAAGGAGCTTCTTGAAAAGTAGAGCTGTCCCAACAACCACAGAAAACCTCCACGCTGTGTTCAGAAAAAGGCCAATAATGCAGATAGCCAAGACCTTCAAGAAAAGATGGCCCTGTGTTCTGTTCTGACTATTCAGAGCAGGCAGCTCACCTCCAGGCCTCAGCAAACAAGAACTGTTTTCTAACTTAGGGGGGCACAGCTCCACTATAGATCTGTAACAGGGGTCTCGAGGGCTGTGGGAGGTGTGGGGGCGTGTGTGTGTGTGAGAGAGAGAAAGAGAGAGGGAGAGAGAGAAGTGGGCAGAGCAGCAGCTGGTTCTGGGCTGCTACAACAAGAGAGGCAAAATGCAGCAAAACCAACAGGCTCAGCTGAGCACTAGAATTCCTCGATGTTCTCTTCTATTTAAGTCACGGCTGCCTCCTTCCCCCTTGACTCAGGGAGTTAATGTGCCATACACTTCTCTATCTGTGCCTGAGAAAGAAAGACTCCTGCCATCTCCAATAGAAGATGCGCCCTCTGCAGAGCACAGCAGGTCTCCATCACTCACAGCAGCGAGGGAGGGGGAGGGAGAGGGCCCACCGCCCCCCCCCCCCACCCCGTTCAAAACAAATGTGCCTAGCCTCTCAGTGGTAACTGTGAAGGGACAACAAAAAGCCACAAAGAAAGTAGACAAATTCAATAATCTAAAAGAGAGCTATGTGATATCAAATCAAGCTTCTGTTCTAATTACTAATGTATATGAAATACTGAGGATTGAAGTACATGTTAAATAACACGACGACATAATCAGCCAAAGCCAAGTGTAGACAATTCTACTAAACAAATAACCCAGTTTCTACAACAAATAAATGGTATAAAAAGGTGGGAGAGGGAGAGATGGTCTTAGATTAAAATGAGTCTTAGGAACTAAATACAGTAAATGGACTCTGGAAACTGATTTCAGCCAACCAACTTGAAGTGATATCTTAAAGATAACTGGAGAAAATGTATTAAGTATTAGTACTAAAAAATTATTTTATTGGATGTGATAATGGTATAATGGTTATGCATTTTTCTAAAGTTCATTCCTGTTAAAGTGACATAGTGAAATATTTACAAAATAAATTAACCTGTATATATGTCATACATAAGATTTTTCAAAAAAATTTTAGCCAAAATATAAATGACAGTGAGGATAGGGTGGGAAAATGAAATAAGAACAGCAGAGTGTTTATGATGAGTCCATAGTGATTCATAATACCATTTTTTTCTAGTTATGTTGACATTTAATGTGTTCCTAATAAAGTTTAACAAGTAAATAAATAATGTGAAACTATCAATGTGAAGCTGAACAAACGGAACAAATAGACCCCCTAATTAAACATATAATTTAAGAATCTGGAAAAAAATTTTAATTCTAGTTACTATATTTGATGAGATTTGACAGATACTGGATCCATAAAATAAGAACACGCTACTAGGAAGGAGAATCACAAAATGAAGAAAAGCTGATAAAAAATAAAACTATGATAGGGAAAGAAATAGCAGGATGGGCATTACAGAAAACTGAATTTGTGATTTGATAGATTAAATTTAGACTTTCAGATGGTAGTAATAAAAAGCAAAAAGACAAAGGAGAAGAGAAAAGTGGATAGCTAATGTCTACTTAACAAAAGGGACAGACTAAAAGGAAAAAAATAGTAATAGGAGAAAATTCCTTTGAGGGAAAGAAAAACTTTCAATACTCTTAGCCAAAATACTGAAGAAAAAAACAAAAATATATTGTGGTAAAATTTGTGAATTCACCACATATGAAAAAAATCCTGTTGGCTGTCAGAAAGAAGAAACACATTATCACCAAAAAAGAGAGAAGCAGTTTAACATTAAGTGTCTCATCTTGAACGCTATACATCTGAAGGACAAGAGAACAATGCTTATAAATTTTAAAGGGATAGATTATGGTCCTAGAATTCTACACCTCGGGAAACTACCATATAAGTGTATGGTAAAATAAAGACTGAAGTTTGCAAGGGTTCAGCACAAACCACCCGCACACCCCATGCCTTGTATGGGCTTAGCTGTCGCCCCCTGCCACCAGAGCAATAGCAACAAAATGACGGCCAGAAGAATTCAAGACAAGGCAACTATGGGCTACGGAACAACAGTGAACAAAAACCACAACTATAAACCATAAAGATATAATTAAGTCTAAATACTACAGCTGTACCTTCGGTCTTCAAAAGACCAGTAAAAAATAGATATTCTCTAGTAATTCTGCCAACCTCCCCCATCCCCGCCAAATTCCCAGTGATATTAGGAATGAGACAGGGGACATGGAAACAAGTAAGGATAAAAAAGGAATAGTGTGTTCAACTTAATGTAAGTGCACACAAGCGCCTCCACAATAAAGGTTGGCTCAGGTCAACTCAGGGCGCCTGGCATCCCGCACCAGAGGCGACCCGACCCTGACCTGTTCTGCAGCCTTTACTCGGAGGACGCATATAGCAAAAGCCTCTGAATGGAGGTTAAGTATTGCTTGAGAAGTAAAAAATGTAGAATTTTAAGCATTTCCTTTTATTCATGACTAATGAAGTTTTCTGTGTGGTTACTCCTTGCTTTGTTTTTGCTGCTGTTCATGCAAATAAAACATTACGGACCTGAGTGAAGTCCCGGTGAGTTATTTTCCCCATTTTCATTCTCCTTTCTTACTCTCTGGACGTAGTCAGTACCCTGATTGTTTCACTCTGCATGTTCTAAATACTTCCAATGTTATAGACGGTGCTCTGCATAGCGAGTAACAAATACATCTTCTCTGTGCAAATGCACAGGAGGCTTCCTAGATAAACTTGGAGTCAAACTGCTGGGCTGTGGCATAAACACAGCTTCAGTTTAACTAGAATCTCTTAAAGCTAAACACACACCTATCTTAGGACCGATCAACTCTACTCCCAGGCATATATACTCAAGAGAGCGAGTGCATATATCCATCGAAATACACGTTCAACAATGTACACAGCAGCTTTCTCAAAAATAGACCCAAACTGGAAAAAAGCCAAATATCCACCAACCAGAGAATGGATAAATATATTGTGGTATATGCATACAATGGAACAGCACATAGTAATAAAGAATTAATGATTTAATAACATAGGTATATTTCAGAAACACTATGTTGAGTGAAAGAAGCTGAGGTAAGAGAAGGCACCATAAATCAAGGAGAGGCAAAAACTAATCCATCGGGAGGGAGGTGGGAACAGCAGTGAGCCAGCTGGTGTGGGAAGCCGCCTGGAGAGGTGCAGCAGGGGTCTTCTTACGCTAGGAAAGCTCAGTGACTTGATCGAGGTGGGAATAACGTAGGTAACGTACATATGCACAAACTCCTGCATTATACCTTTAAAATGCATGCACTTTCTATTTTATACTTCAATTAAATGTTTTTAAAAATCATACCGGTTTTTTATTCCTCATCAAAAGAGAGGTAAAAGTTTTATTAAAATTTTGAGTAAATCAGTGCAAATATTTTCTCTTTGGTGGAACTTTAAATACATATGAATCAAGAAATTTGTATGTTTTATTCTCTTTCTATAAGTGTCAAGATTCCTTGAATCTTAGCTGAAATGATAGTCATACTACATCAGAGACAAAAAGAAAAAAGTTTTAATGGAACATCAGAGAAAGGTAAGATCACACAAAAGCCCCACTGAAGACTAGAAGAAAATGTTTGTACCCAATGAGGAGCGAATCCCTTGTCCAACCTCCCCTTCCCCCCCACCTCGAGGAGACTGGAGAAGTCCCCTCTGAGAAACTGATCAGCCCGGAAGAAAAGGCTACAGAGAGTAGGATGCCCATAGCAATTGACGATGCAGAGCAAGTTAGTTCTGCCCATACGTAGAACTTCCAATCAGCTTGTTAGTGCCTCCCTCCTAAATATGTACAGATAAGCAAGGATCACCAGGCATTTGAAGAAAGCCTTCAATGGGGTCTAAGACAGGAGTCAGAGAGGAAAGGGGGACTGAGAAATATGCAATATGCTTTAATAGGTTTAGCGAGGATTCTCAGTTCCGCTGAGGCACTGGGAGTTGTGTTAGTGATTGGTACATGAATAAAAAAACAGGACAATGGTGTGCCACAGAAAAAGCAAAACGCACAAGGAAGGAAATGCAATTACCATACACTCCATCTGAGCTAAGAATAATAGTGAACATAATCATAATAATATAAAAGCTGAGTTGAACAAAAACAATGAGAATGAAGGAAAAAAGAGTTTATGTGCTAGAGGGGAGCTGGGAACCCAGAGAGAACACACATCTGTGCAGGAAAAGGAGCTAACAACATCTTCCATCTTAGTAACCGTTAATGTCTAAATCTGAAAAATCAAGAAATACAATATAAGCATTTATAAACATGAACAGAGCTGAAAGCTGGAATCAGGAATAGGGTAGGCGCGGGGTGTGCTAATTTTCATTAAAACCCAGTACTTCCATACAAGCTGCCAGTTATAAAAATAGTCATGGGGATGTGAAGTACAGCATAGGAAATACAGTCAATAATAATGTAATAACTATGCATAGTGCTGGGGGGGTCTAGGTTTATTGTGGCGATCACTTTGTAAGGTATTTAAGTGTCTAATCATTATGTTGCACACCCGAAACTAACATAACATTATATGACAACTATAATTGAAAAAATAAAATTTTCAAAACCCCACTACTTCTCTGTAATTTTTGGCACTATGTCCATATATACTCTGACACAAAGAAAATACTAAAAAGGAAGATAACGTCAGTCTGGGAATGGGACTCACCAGCAGGACTAAAATTTAAAGATCCAAATTATATTACACTCTCTTTTAAAACAGAAAACAACTGATTTTTCAGTTTTCTTCCCTTTTTTCCCTATTCTTTCATTCATTCTATATATAGGAAGCAAACATGTGAGACAATTTCTGCCTCAACTAAAAAAATGAAATGAAATGGAGAAGAAAAATGAACCCAGTGGCAGCAAAAAACATTTGCCCCAATTACTAAAGATACCATTTTAAGAGTGTTTTTAATAGTGGTTAATAGTTATTCGGGGGAAAAAAAAAGGCCACACTTCATAAATGGCTCACAAACAACTTCTAAGTTGGGTGCTAGCAGAAACATCTAGGAAGAAATATAAGAAGAAATGCTAAGGCCATAGTAAATCTTATAGAGAGACATGTCTATTCTGTAACTCCAACCAAAGTAACAGGAACTTACCACTTCGTGAATGGATCTATTGAAGCCGTCATCTTCTGTAAGGATCAACAATATTATAAGTGCCATATACACATGGTGTGAATTTCTTTCTTCAACATGATACAGAATCTCAAGAATTGGCAAGACCTAGGAAATATAAATTTTAATTTAGTACTTCTATTACTTCACTATGAGACCAATGTCTTAAACCTCTACACTTTTATCATCTGCTCTTTGCTTTAACTTCATAGTTACAAACCAGCCTCTGAAAGTAGTTTCCGTGTATGCAGCTAAGACCCCAGGAGAGGAAAGCACCGCCCCCTGCGCCAGTCCACGGCCACATCAAGGTCAGGTTTGCAGAGACCACAGAGGCTCACAGTCAACACCTGACACTGAGCAGAGGCCTCCAGCCTAGCAGCAACTTACACACAATCAAGCATTCCTAGGAACACCATAATGTGTCGAACGTTACCTTCTTAATAGCAAAGACTGTAAAATAAAAGAACCGTTAACAACACAATCAGATCCGCACAGAAAACTTTCTATCCACTGTATATTTTCTAATGACAGCTTCAATAAATATTTGTTATAGAAGAAAGGCAAAAAGACAGATAGAGATATTAGAGAAGACATTATCAAAGTAATCTATGCTAGAAATTTAAAAACAAAAACCCCAAAACAAATAAGGAAACCCTACCCTACCCCCCCTCCCCCAAGGAAAAACAAAACCTTTTAACTTTTTCACTGGGATGTGTTATATACAGACAACTGCTCCCTGAAACATCATATATGCCAACATGTTACCATGGAATTTTCCAGAACAACTGATGTCACAGGCTTTCTGCTTATTGCAATCTTTTCCCTTAGGATACATCATGTTAAGATTTGTCTCTGTGCTCATATCCACCCATCAGTAAACAGGCCTCCTCATTATAAGTTTTTACTCACATAAGCAGCATGCTGTTACACCCAATTTTGCTATTTAAGCCAATGTTTTCCACGTATAGTCAGTCTGGAGACAGGTTCTTTCATTGTTTTTGTCCTTCCTGTCACTTTGACATGGAATATCCGCTTCAAATGACTTTGAATATCCCACATTTCTCAGTTTATTATGTTTAACACTAAAAAGAGGCGACCAAATACCTCGTGAACCCTGCTATCGACCTGTAGAAGTGTTGCAGAGGGGGCACTCCGCTTGCTGCCAGCAGTGTGTGGCTGTTAAAGACCTAAATAAAGGACAGGCGAGCTGGTCGCACTACTGTGTTCTCCTGCTCTGTGAGGCCATGTCCACGTGCTCTGTCTCGTACGTCATCACACTCAAACCTCTGTGTCTGGTGACATCGCCCCATCCATTTCTCAACCATCACCTTTGTGGCAACCAAGCAAATACACTTTCCCTCTGAGGAAAAGAAATTATTCTTCAAAATATTATAAAATACAAAAAGCATGAAATGTTTAGCATGATACTTACAAGATTTTCCATATCCGTGCGAGCCAACATGTACGTTCTAATATTACTATTCTGATGGAGCAATGTATACAAGAGGAGAGTTGCTTGGTCAGATGTCTGCTGTTCACATAGAGCTGTGTACAAACTGTTAAAATTAATCTGGAAAGCATGTGGAATTGATGAGGGGAAAGGACTGTTATCTGGAATGCAGAAAACATGAACATTTTTAATATTACATCACTATTTTCTAGACTGTGCCTTATTTAAATAATAAAACGCTACTCAATACAATGGTATACAATTCAATTCCCACTAATTTTGTATAAGTTGCTACATTTCAGATTCAAAATTTCAATTTATATTTATAATTTTACTTAAAAAAGAACTAAACTAACATAAAACATGGTGGGCAGAGTTGATAACACTACACTGTATAATTGAAATTTGCTGAGCGTAGTAGATCTCTGTCCTATCTAAACAGCTTTCCAATGATTACGTGTATCATCCCTTATTTAACCCGTACGACAGCCATGTCATTACACTGACCAGCTTTACAAAGGATGAAATAGAGGCTCCGAGAGATCACACAACTTTTCCAAGATCAGCCCTGAGTAAAATTAGCCTCTATTGTTTTCACTACATAATACCGCTTCTTTAAATGTAGCAGTCATTCAGGGAGGCAGTACTCTGATAGACGCTCATTTAAATCTCACAAAGAACCTTGAGCAATAGAGATCATAATCCCTGCTTCATGAGTAAAGAAACTAGTATTTAAAAAACAAAAACTGGGATATGAACTTAGGTCAGGCTCACTCTGAAGTCAACATTCTGAATCAATGTACCACAGAGTCTTGGAAAAGATGACTATCCCGGGAAGGTTCAACCCTGAAGAGCAACATTTGCCCAGATCAGCAAAAGTAACAACAGTAGGTACACAGAAGGAACACTGCTTTGTTGCAAAATCTGAGCTAATCATTTTAAAACCTTACTGTGCTTGGTACTTATACAAATACTCTTAGTGATATTATCTCCGTTTTACAAACGAAGCCACTGAGGCTCACTGAGACGGAGCAAGCTGTGGAAGTCCACACCGATCCACAGGGACAGCAGTGTGGCACGTGGTCAGATCCGTCTGGTTCCAAAACTCGTTCCCTTAACCATTACACCGCACTGTCAGTAAGAGAATGGTAATGGCGATAGAAAATACTATTAGACACATGAGCTTTCACTTTTTACCTGTCAAATTACTAGAGACTTCCTATTCCCCTGGAAGACGAATACCAGAATTAGCAAAGCCACAACTAACTGGCACCATCACTCACTGTCTATGAGAAACATGTATTCAAACAGCTCTGAAAAGGAATAAGGCAAAGTGCCTCAGAAGCCTTACAAGTTCCTATCCAATAACTGCAATTTCTACCCATCTTAATTATGTTAGAGTTGGGATACTTCTTGACAATCTAGCCTTGCTTATTAATCTTGCTTGGAGAGTACGGCCTTTTGATAGGAGAGTACTGTGCCTACACAGAACTATCTACTCATGGTCTACCTCACGGTTTGGCAAATTACAGCCCACAGGCAGCCCACCACCTGTTTTGGAAATAAACTTTTATTGGAACCAGCCATGCTCATTTATGGATGTATTATCTTTGCCTGCGTTGCACTGTGATGGCAGAGTTAAGAGGTGGTGACAGAGGCCACATGGCCACGTAAAGCCATCTGCCCCTTTGCAAAAAAAAGTTCGCTCAATTCTGTTCTAAGTTTTAGTTCTATAAAACTCTAAATGTAAACTTTGAATGAAAAATTTCAAACAATCTATCATTTAGAGTTTTTTCAGGTTAATTCCTATCCCAAACAGGTAGGATAGATGGATCCAAATTAAGCACGTGCTAGCCTTGGTTATGTCTGAAAGAAATGTAAAGTTAAATGGATATAAGGAAGCACAGCCCTGACTTTTATTAGAATATAGACATGAAAATCTAAGGGATTCTAATCATTAATCAATATGAAAATATACTGAAGTCATCTCCACAACTATTGAAATAATACAGGTGAACAATACCCCCTTTCCTCGTTAGAAAAACTCTTCAGAGAAAACAATAAATTGCACAAACCTTGTGTATTCTTAAAGGACATAATGGCCTGTCTGTAGGGGTTCGGCGCGTCTGCGGCGTCTGTCAGGTTGGCCAGCACCAGCAGAAGCAGGAGGCTCTGGTTGGCGAGAGGGGAAGAAAGCGCAGGAGCGGCCGCCGCCTTGCTGCCCACACCGCCCAGGGTGAAGACGGTCCAGAGTCCAGCTTGTGGAGAAAGCACACAGGTAAGATGCTCTGGGATCAGTGAGATCAATGTATTTCTGTGCAATATTCCATATGCTTTCATATTTAAAGTTTGAAATAACACTTCTTTTTTATGAAAGTAAAACAAGTCCATTATTTGAAAATTTTCATATTGCTCAAGGATGTAAAATTTTTAAAGACTATATCATTCCCTATTTCCATAATTCCACTGACACTTCCCACAGATAACCACCATTAAGTTTCTAATATATCTCTCCATATTTTTCTTGATATATCAAAACATAGTCATAGAAAATTTCAAGTACAACTCTATACTCATATTTGAAAATCTAAGCAAAATATTAAAATATGTAGAGAAACACAAATATCAAAACAAACCAAAAAGACAAAAGCCTGAATTGGCAAATAATCCTAAAAGGCTGAAAAATGGGTCAAAGAGCTAACCCTAAAAACAAACCAAGTTCAGATTTTTTTTTTACAAATAAGTCTAGCATACTCTGGTTTCTCTTCAGATTGTATAAATCTTTCACCTTTTACAAATAAATCTAATAAACCCTCAAAATACAAATAATTCTCATACTATACAAGCAGTTCCGAAGTATACACATGACTATTATCTAGGCAACTCATTTGACAAGTCCAGAAAAATATGATCCAGACATTGGATAAAGACTGCAATTAAAACAAAATAGAGAAATTAACAGAGATTCTTAGATAGCGTGAATCAAACAAAAGGCGATAAAATGTAGAAAAATTTGTTAAAAGTATAAATGCATCATGATCAAGGAGGTTTTGTTTCTGAAATGCAAGAATGATTCAACATTTTTTAAAAAACGATAAATTGTTCTTAATTTTAAAAAGATGGATGGAAAAAAGAAAATATGGTCATAAGAGATGCCAATTTTTTAAAAATTGAACTTAAAACCTATTCTTAATTTAAAGAAAACGAGTTCTTACAAACTAGAAAAGGAAAAGAAACCGCTTGGTTTTTATTGTCCACCTAATCAGAAGTCCACAGTGGTCAAACATTGGAAGAATTCCATTAATATCACCAACATTAGCATAGTAATACTGGTACTCCAAGCGAAAGATACTAAAGGAAGAAAAATAAAAGGTAAAAAAATAAAAAAACCCACCCCAAAACAAAACAATCTCTGCACTACCCAATACAGTAGTTACTGGCCACTGTTGAGTGCTTTTGGACACTGGAAATGTGGCTATGTAGTCCAAATTGCATTGTGCTGCAAGTAGAAAATACACACTGAGTTCCAAAGAGTTAATACAAAAAAAAAGTGAAAATCTGTCACTAATTTTTTCATATTGATTATACGTTAAAATTATAATATATTGGCTATATTGCATTAAAGTATATTGTTAAAGTAAATTCCACCTGTTTCTTTTACTACTTTAGTATGACTTCTAGAAAATTTAAAATTACATAAGTGGCTCACATTACATTTCTATTGGGCAGAAATGTTCTAGAACATCAAGAGAATCAATTGACATGCTATTAGAACAGATTTTAGTACCATTCTATAACCAAAAAGAAATCAACATATAAAAAATCAAAAGCCTTCATATACATGAGCAATAATTAGAAAATCCAATCATAACAACAACAAACCCAATGAAATATTCAAGAATGAAAGACAAATAGCATACGATCTCACTCATAAGAGGAATCTAATGAACAAAACCAGCTAACGAGCAAAACAGAACCAGAGGCATGAAAACACGGAACAGACTGACATCTGCCAGAGGAAACGGGGGAGGAGGGGATGGTGGAAAGAAGGGGAAGGGATTAGTCAAAGCACATCTCTGAAGGACCCATGGACACGAGCAAGGGACAGCAGCGTGGGGACTGACGGTGGGAGGAGGGGGTGGGCTGGGTGCGGGAGGGCAAAGGGAGAAAAATTGGGGCAACTGTAATAGAATACACAAAAATTTTTAAAAACACACAAAAGAAATGTGGAAGGCCTTTAGGCAGACAACCACAGAATTTGACTAAAGGTTATATGAGATCTGAATTAATATAAAGGTACAACATATTTCTAGACAAAAAAGACTCAATACGGTAAAATTGCCCATAAGTTAACTTAAAATTCATTATAACCACTATCAAAATACCAAGAGGAATTTATGTATATTGATATTTTGTAAAACAGTGTAAATAAAATATTGCTGGACATGAAAATACATAAGAAAATAGTTTTAAAAAGAACTAACCTGGGTAGGAATGCTCCTGGTCAAACAGCAAAATTTTTATAAAACTACAGTCATTTGAAAGTATGATACTGGCAGTAGGGTAGACAATTCAATGGAAATGGGTTTAGAACAGAAACACATGTGTTTAAGAAGTAACCTTATGATACAGGCAGTATTCCAAATGATAAGAAAAAAATAAAATTCTATAACTGTCTTTGGGACAATAGAATTTAGTAATTTCCCTTTTATTTAACTATAGAAGTATATATATAAACCTGCAGCTGATAAAGCCTTTTTCTTATGCAAGACACAAAATTCAAAAAGATATAAAGAACAGTAATCTGACTACTTAAAAATAAATACTTTATGTAATGAACTATATTATACACCAGATGAGAGGAGAAAACATTTGCTACATATAAAGCAGAAGAGGATATTTATTTTTTAAAAAGACCACCTGCCAATCAGTAAGAAAGCTAACAATCCAAAATAAAAATAGGGAATAAAAATCTAAAGCAACAAAAAGAGAAAATGAATTAATACAGTAAGATCCATGAGAACACAATTTTTTAAAAGATTTATAACACCCAGGAATGTTAAAGGTACAGAAAACCACCAACAGTGAGAAATCAAAATCACACAGAATTTTTGGAAGATGTTTGGCAGTTCTCATTGAAATAAAAAATGCACATCCCCATCAATCCAACAATTTTCTTACTTACACTAAAGAATATTTGAAGAGGTACACAAAGATTCATGTACAGGAATATTTACGTTAATTTGTTTTTAATTGTCAGATGACAAAAACATTGTGGATGTTTTCCCATGCCCATTGTGGGATGGTTTCCCAAAACCAAGAGCAAGTGTTAAACCATACTATGGAATACAATATAAAGAGGTAGATATCTATGTATTAACAAGGAAATTTCACTAAAGTTACTATTAAGTAAAAAAAGCAAGTTGCAGAAAAATTTACGTAAATAATTTAAAAATCACCCACTTAAATCATATGTGTACATGTGTATGTGTGTGTATGTCTGTGTATTTTAATAACAGGAAGGACCAAGTGTACATTGTACTGGTAAAAGAAATTACCTTTGGCGTGGAATTCAAGAGAGACCTTTGCTTTATTTGTATAGTTAAATGTTTTGCAATAAAAATATATTCATTTCATTTATTTCTTTAAAAATAAATGTAAGATAACAAAATTAAAATAACAGAATACAGACCCAATTAGAGTATGAGGCCTGTCCAGAAAAAGTCCTACCATTGCTTATAAAACTAGAACAGTTTGCATGACATTGATGTAACCTGGCAGCCAAGGAAAGTGGACTGGAATACACATGCGTGAAAAATGATGACTTCACTGTACTAGTCAGCAGGGGAGGTAGATGCCACTGAGTGAGCATCTGTACTGTGTGGTTGTCGCATTCAAAATGATTGAACAGGTAGAGCAAAAAATCTGCATCAGATTTTGCATTAAGCTTGAATATTCCCCTGTGGAAACTATTGGGATGACTCAGAAGGTCACAGCTATGGGCAGCTGGTGATTGGCAGCTTCACCATGACAACGCACTTGCTTGTGTGTCACGTCTCGTGCAGTTTTTTTGCAAAACATCAAACCACCCAGGTGACTTATGCCCCCTATAGCCCAGATTTGATGCCCTCTGACTTCTGACTTTTCCCAAAACAAAAATCACCTTTGAAAGGGAAAAGATTTCAGACCCCAGATGAGATTTGGGGAAGTAAGACAGGGCAGCTGATGGTGACTGGGAGAACTGTGTGAGGTCCCAAGGTGCCCACTATGTAAAGGACTGAAGTGTCATTGTCGTATGTGCAATGTTTCTTGTATCTTCTTCAGTAAGTGACACTATTTTCCATAGTGTGTGGCTGGGTACTTTCTGGACAGATCACGTGTAACTATGTAAAATATGGAAAAATCTCATCAGTATATCATTAGGTGAAAAGGAAATTCACAAAACTTTGTGTGTGTGTGTGTGTGTGTGTGTGTATGTGTGTATATATATATATATACACACACATACACACAAACAATGTGCCCCGTTTTTTTAAATTGTAAATGTATTACATGTATCTATGCGCATGCATGTTAATGCACCTACAGGTGCCTTGCAGGATGTGCTGTTGATAGTGGTTACCTCTGATCATGGAGAAGAGAGCAGGAGTGAAGGTGGCTTGAAGAAGTCTCATATTTTGTTCGGTGTTTACTTTGTTCCTCCCTTTATAGCGATATATTCAAGCGTAACTTAAGCAATTCAAAAACATCAAGGAAAGAAAGTTCCGGATCACCAACCCCAGAAAATGTGATGTAACACACACTTGGGCTAGGAATACAGCCCTCTGGTTTTTATTTTTAAAAGGTGCCTCCTGATAGTTTTGGAGGGGTAATCACCAACATGTTAACACTGATCAAGTCTGAGATGGTGGCAACGGGCAGGATATTTTAACCTCTGTACAGGTCTAATTTTTCTTATTACAATCGGCAGATGCCATTATTTACAAGAAGACCTTTGTTGAAGAAATGCTTTTGTAATGAAATTTACAATGTAGAGCAAAATGGGTAATACTGATAAATTTCATTCTTCCTGAATATAGGCAGATACTTTTTATTTCTTCTTTATACTGTAAACAGTTTAGTGTGAACATTTGCTCATTTCTAACATTCTGAGTTTACTGAACACATATAAAACTACTTCATGGTATATTATTTATATACATTATATTATTGTATACCAATATATTATTTCTTACATATGTGGTCCTGCAAACCTCAA